ATTTCACCCAGGGAGAGGAATCCCAGCGATGACGGCGGCGCGACTTCAACGATATGCCTTGTTCTTATCAGGATTCAATTACACCATCGAGTACAAGAACACCAAAGCACACGGAAACGCAGATGGCCTGTCACGCTTGCCTGTACAAGAAGCGGAGGACGTCAGTGAAGATGATGCCATAGATCCGGTAACGGTTCTCCAGTTAACGCAGTTTGAACCCCTTCCGGTGACCACGGAGGATGTTAAGAAGGAGACTCGGAGGGACCCGTTGCTCTCGAGAGTCAGGGAGTACACCGAGACTGGTTGGCCAACGAAGTACCCACCAGAGTTGGCGGCGTTCCACGCACGACAGTCCGAATTAACTATCCAGGATGGATGTTTGCTATGGGGAAACAGGGTAATCATCCCCAGCAAACTACGAGATAAAGTATTAGAAGAACTGCACGAGGGGCACCTAGGAATCGGAAAGATGAAGGGAGTAGCAAGAACTTTGATCTGGTGGCCAACATTRGATAAACAGATAGAGACTTTGGCTAAGGGATGCTCTGGTTGCCAACTGATTCAGAATGAACCACCAATCACAAGACTTCATCCCTGGGAATGGCCCAATGGACCGTGGCAACGAATACATGTARATTTTGCTGGTCCTTTCCTAAACAGAATGTTCCTGATTGTAGTCGATGCGTATTCCAAGTGGCCTGAGGTGGAGGTGATGCAGTCTACGACAACAGAAAAAACCATTGAGAAGCTCCGACAAATCTTTGGCAGGTATGGGGTCCCTCAAACTCTAGTCAGTGATAATGGGCCTAATATGAATAATAATGAATATGTCAAAACAGTTTTAAAGAGCTTAAATAAGTCGCTTTTTGTAATAAGATCTCTTAGAAAAGGGGGTTTTAATCAAGGTGAAGTAGACCATTTGTTTAAAATAATAGTACTACCTAAATTAAGATACGGACTTTCTGATTATGGGGCTTCTAAGCCAGAGTTAACTATTATTAAGAATTTTTTTAGATAGATGTACTAATTTCAATATTTATGACATATTAGGAAATAGTGATAAGCAAATTTTAGATAAGATTATAAATACCAAAGCTCACCCTTTGGCCTGAGTCCAAGATTACTCATTACAGTCTTAGAAATATCTCTAGTCCAAGACCAAAGATCTCTACAGAACGTTTTAAAAGTTATTTTAGTAATAGATTGATTTTTAATTATGATTTAAGCTTTTTAGTGTAGTATATTGATAGCCTAGTATGAATGCATGTTATCTAAAAATGAAATAAATTTGAATTTGCAAATGACACTTGTGTTAATCAATCAAATGCTACAATTCCTGGACACAGGATCGTCATAGCAGCACAGACTCTTATTATTCTGTCAACCATTGGTATTTTCTCTCTTGAGAACCATTGCAGTTGCACTATAAAAAGTCTATAGGCAAAGGTCCAGTTAAAACAAGATATTTACGTCTAAGTAGCCCAATCACCCTTTCCACGTGAATACGCACATTGGCAATTCCTCGTGTGCGCTTCACATCTTCAGGATGAAGCTGCTCCTTCCCCTTGGTAAAGGCTGGCATATCAAGTTGTGCACCGTGACAAATAAGTGCTTCCTGAATGGTAAACCCTCGGTCAGCTAGCACCAAGTCACCTGGTAAAAGTTTTTAAGATGCCACATTTCTCTGTCAAATACTTATCAGAAGTTCTTCCACCCTATGCTTCGGAAACAAAAGGAATGGTGCCTTGTGGGCTTATACGAATTAATACTTTAACAGTGTTGTAGTTTAAATAGGTCTGAGCTCGTGCCATGAGATTGCAAGGTCTGTTAATAAACACTTCAAAACAGTCGATAATCACTGTTGTCCTGTTTCCAAACGAAAATTGGAAACACTGAGGCATGGTACGCCATAAGTCCTCACGTTCAGGCCACTTTGCTATCAAGACAATAGATGAAGGTATGCGCACCACTTCCAAGCCTCCTTTTTTTTTTTTTTTTTTTGAGGGAGAGAAAGATCACTGTATTCCCGTCCACAATCAAGCTTTACAGGTAACAGGTAACAGGCACTTTTAAGGCTACTGGTAGAATAATCGGTGACTCAGCCCTGCACAACGGTCCCTTTCTCCATGGAATTTCCCCAGCCATCGTGCACTGTTGTGTCACCCGTCAAATGAAGTTGATGAACGACCACCTACCATTGCCAATGAGGATATTCGAGATATGGATCTGAAGCATTACATTACACAGATGATGGGTTGTTGTTTTAAAATTGGTTAGATTGCAAGCAAACTTAAGAAACAAAACAAAAACTGATGACATATTCATTCCCCCAACTTTCTTCTTCAAGATTGATGGTTTGGAAACGGAGGAGACACGCTGGGAAATCGATACGCCTGAATCAGCCAAAACAATATACACTAGATCCCAGTCTTTCGAAGAGATAATTGACCTCGGCCATTGTCAAATCATTCCAAAGCTGGTATACCTGTAGTTTTAATGGCCCATAGAGGCCTGGTAATTAGTATGGCTGAGTTCACGCCAAAAGCGAATCGATTCTTCACTTCCTGAGCTTTTATTTGGTACCAAATTTGCTATATCTTTGCGTTTTTTTTCGCATTTTTATCCTTGAACAAAGTTTGAAGAGACAGCTAAGGAGCTAGCATCAATGTGAAGGGTGAGTATCTTCTTATTTCCCTTATTTTTTTGCCTTTGTTATTAGATTTTTGAACAAACTAAAACCATAGAACCACACCTTTGACTCCATTTAATATTTTTCAAACCTCGAGAACATTGACTGTTATTTATTTGGAATTGAAAATTTGTCACAAAATTGGTGAATTTTTAGGTGACATCCACTGCTGCTGCGGCTGATGGGGAGCAAGAAGCGAAGAGCACCGCGAAGACAGACCAAAACTACACAAAAATCGCGATTTCCCTTAGGTGATCTTGCTAGAAGGAGGTCTGAATTAAAAGAAGAGTTTTTAGCAAAATCAAAGCAATTAAATGCTTTAAGGAATAAAGCCAGGCGAATTAACGAGCAAGTAAGCTTATTGTCTTGACATGTAACACTGACAAGTTTTATCTGGTGCAGTATTGCCCTATTATTGATGGGTTGCAAGCATTCCCAAGATAGTCAAAAGACAAAAACATGGCAGCCATTGTGGTGCCTTTAGATGCTAATGAGAAATCTTTTGTTAAATGGCACCAACATGGCCGCGATGACGTAACGTGCAATCGAAGAATATTGTCATAGTCATGGAGATTTTTGCTTCGTTGCATAATTTCGTTTACTACAATAAAAACTCCATTAAAGATCCACTATATTACAAAGTCCCACGGTAATGGTTCTTATTAAATCAGGCTTAGGATGCTCTTAAAAATTTGTATTCAAATTTATATTGCTATTTAGCAGCGCCTCTAAAAATGTGTAATGCATACACTAGTATTGAGGAGTACAAACACTACTACTTTCAATTTCTATGTAGTGCCAATAAAACAATAGAAAAGAAAAAAACTTTGTATTATTTTGTACTAGTTATGTTGCACACTTTTGGTGTTTGCACTCTACTCTTACTCTATTTAACTTTAGATCTATTTACTAAAAAATATTCACTAATATATGTTATCTTTTTATCCTTCTTTCATTAAAGATAGAAAGATTAAGCTCTCTACAGTTGCCAACACCACCTTCCACCCCAGAGGCAGGTTTTTCTCTCTCTAAAAAGACAGCATTTTCACGTAAGAAGTCACCGTCAGAGTTGTCAGCAGAAGGAAACCTCAACATACCCCAAAGAAGTAGGTACAGAAGGCAATTAGAGACACTATTAGCTTATTCAATGGCATGGCTTGTTAGCTTTTTGAATGTAGGACCTAGGGTTGCTAGCCCAAATGACAATTTCTTGTTGTTTGGGGCAAATTGCAATGAAACCCACGATGCAGTTATTAAGTATACTAAGATGCTAGGGACCCAATGTTCTGCTATTGAACAAAAAAGCTATTCTGTATGTGGGATCAATGTAACCTTTACCTTTGAGCTTTTACCTTCACATATGAAGTTTTTAGCTTTTCTAAATGGTGAGCTATCTAACTCTTCTAAGTTTTTTTCTAGCTTTGCCAATGCTTCCACTGATGATCTTGATAGCTTGCATGGCTCTTTTGGAACCACTGATGGCAACAAGTGGAAACCCTGGCAATACAGAGACCGGGTTGACATGGTAGAAAAAGTCGCTAATTTAAAAAATACTCTTAGAAAAAAGAAATATGCTGCCTCAACTCTTCGAAATAAAATCACACAGTTTATTGCTGAAAATAATTCAAGGCAAGAGTTTGAGCCTCCTATAGGTAAACTGTGTGAGAAGGCAGTACTGGAGCCTTTGCATCTAAAAAACAATGCTGTCCAAAAACTCCATAGTTACATGTTAGAACTTGCCCTAAGTACTAGCAACCTCCCTACTAAGCTTTCCCTTTCAGGTGAACTTCCACAGAGTAGCATTAGTAGATACATCCATGCAATGGAACATAAAGTAAAGGCTACAAGGCTTAAGAAACAGCTATTAAAATGGCTGGTAGAAGACAGGCCCAACTGAGAATATACTTCCAAACTGGAAGCAGACTAGCAGAGCGTACGGACGTGTTTAACTCAGCTCCTGTTTTTTTCTGTTTTCTTTCCCTTGAATGAGCACTTATATGTTTATGTAAACGTTCGTTTCTGGTGGCTGAGTGCTTCTTGGGGAGTTATTTTGTTTCACTTGGTGTTAASTTCTGAATTTTTGCTGAAATGTCTTCGAGCGAAGGAATCACCACGAGGAGCYGTGCTAGATCCGAAGGAGTTATGGATTCACTTTCTCCGGAGCTCAAGGATGAAATAATGAATACCGTTAGAGATGCGATTATTACAGCTATGGCGGAGGTGAATAATTCCTACAAAGAGAAAATTCAAAGTCTTGAACAGAGAATTGATGGTTTGGAAGCACAAGTACTTGAGCTGTCGCTACAGCAAAATAAGGTATCTCTGAAAGCAAACGACAACGAACAATACAGTCGAAGGCATAATGTTAGAATAGCTGGATTTCTGGAGGAAGATGGCGAGAATTGCGTCGATAAGGTTATCAATTTCTGTAACGAAAAAATAAAATTAAAACTGTCTTCGAAYGACATTGATAGAGCCCATCGTGTGGGAAAACCAAAGTCCAATAAACCTCGAGCAATTATCGTCCGCTTACAGGCACATCGTCATAAGGTTGCAATATTGAAGAACAGAAGGAATCTGAGGGGAACTAATTTCTATGTCAATGAGGATTTGACAAAAGAAAACCAGGTGCTRTTCTCTCAAGCTAGAAGGAGTGGAAATGTAAAGAGTGCCTGGACCATTGATGGYAAAATCTTTGCTAAGCGAAAAGATGATGATAAAATATACATGGTCTCTTCTTTTTTTGATCTCACCAAGTATAATSTAGGTGTTCCAATGCCCAAGTAAGTCTTGGTTACCAGATGAGTCTCGCTGACTTTAACTTATTGACACTATGAACTCTATAGAACATTATAATTCGTTTCTTTATATTATTTCATTAGCTTCTTTTTGTGTGTTCTATTTTTGCTTTACTAGTTATTATATTTTACGAAATCTGATGCAGTTTGAGGTAAGTTTTATTTATATTTTTCTGTTATTTCTTGATAATGGGAGTTAATCTTGAAATTTATAGAGCAGCGATAGGTTTCTTTAATGCACTAAAAATTTCGAAACTAAGATTTGCATTGAATTTAAATTTCTTATGTGTGTTTGTTTTAGGTATGTTGTTATCTAATTTCTTTTTCCTGAGTTTAATTTTGGCGAATGATATCGAAACTAATCCGGGTCCAAATTATTCTAATCTGTTTAATTTTGGCCACTTGAATGTTAGGAGCTTGTTAGCTGGAGATAAGCTAGATGAGATATCTTTTCTACTTAAAGACAAAAAAATTAGTATTTTTGGAATGACTGAAACCTGGCTTAGCGATCGTATTTCTAATGACAACCTTTTTATTCAAGGTTACAATACAATTATTCGACTTGATCGACACGGAAGAATAGGGGGCGGTGTCGCATTTTATACATCTGACTCTCTATTGGTTAAACAAAGAGCTGACTTGTTAATTGCCGGTTTTGAATGTCTTTGGATCGAATTC